GCCATGGCTTCATCTTGGGAGATTTGTACTAGGACCCCTCGTCTTGGCCCTGTTCCATCATGGTCCCCCAAGGCCATGGCTTCATCCTGAAGGACCATCCCAAGGTCCATCGTTGTGCCCCAGGTCCACAGCTCCATCTTGAAGAACCATCTTGTCGTTACCCAAGTCCTTCATGCTGCCCCAAAGCCGTGTCTGCAGCCTTGGGAGGGTCCCCAGCTCCGTGCCCCCACCTCCGTGTTCCCTCCTCCGTGTCCCCATCCTACCTCCATATGTCAATAAATACTGGTGAATGCTGCTGCTGCAATTCCTAACTGGGGGGTACTGGGAGCACTGGGCGGGCTTTCCCAGGGCACTGGGAGGCATTGCAAGGGGCACTGGAGGGTTAATGGGTGTCCCATCCCTCTCAGTGGCTGTGGGGAAGGTTTCTTTTGGATCTCTGTGGGGTCACCCAGAACACCCAAAGCAATGATTGGAGAGGTTCAATTAAACAATAATTTTAGGAAAAAGCTGTAAAATGGAGCGGATTTCCAAAAGATAAATGACTTTGCCAAAGAAAACTTATAACAACCCACATCACCCACTGACAGCACTAAAACTGACAACAAAGTGACAACAGCTAACGATGTAACGATACCGCTGTTACCAACAATACGTCTGGTGGGTCATTGTTCAACCCCATAGGGACGTTCCCCAGAGGAGAACATCTCCTGGTGGGTCATTGTCCAGCCCCGTAGGGACGTTCCCCAGAGGAGAACATCTACTGGTGCGTCCATACAGGTTCTGGTCAGTCCATCTCACATTGGAGTCACGGTCTCCAACTGCTCCACCGTGGACCTCCACGGGCTGCACAGGGACATCCTGCCTCACCATGGTCCTCTCCACAGGCTGCAAGAGAATCTCACAGCCTGCAATAGAATCTCCAGTGCTCCCGCAGCCATCGGGCTTCTCCGCAGTGTGGGTGTGGAGATGCTGGTTCAACTCGGAGCTACGTCTGAAGGCGCGGGCGCAGACCAGGCAGACGTAGGGCTTCTCACCCGTGTGGGTCCGGAGGTGCACGGTCAAGGAGGAGTTGTGAGTGAAGGTCTTCCCACAATGACCACAAGCGAAGGGTCGCTCGCCCGTGTGGGTGCATTGGTGAACGAGCAGGGCAGAGCTGAGGCTGAAGGTCTTCCTGCAGTGTCCGCAGATGTAGGGCTTCTCCCTGGTGTGGGTCCAGAGATGTGTGGCCAACTTGGAGCTGGTTCTGAATGTGCAGGCACAGACCCAGCAGACGTAGGGCTTCTCCCCGGTGTGGGTGCAGAGATGCTTGGCCAAGCTGAAGTGGGCTCGGAAGGTGCAACCGCAGATCGGGCAGACGTAGGGCTTCTCCCCGGTGTGGGTGCAGAGATGCGTGAGCATGTTGGCAATCTGTCAAAAGGCCTTCCCGCATTTGGGACATGCGTAGGTCTTCTCCCCAGTGTGGGTGTGGCGATGCCGGGTCAATTTGGAGCTAGCTATGAAGGCGCAGGTGCAGACTGGGCAGACATAGGGCTTCTCACCTATGTGGGTGCGGAGGTGGTGGTCAACGTGGAGCTGTAGCTGAACCTCTTCTCACAGTGGCTGCAAGCGAAGGGTCGCTCGCCGTTGGTGTGCGATGAACCATGAGCTCTGCCTGAAGGTCTTCCCGCACTCCCCACACTGGTAGGGCTGCTCTTTGGTGTGGGTCCGTTGGTGGGACATCAAGTTACCCTTCCTCTTACAGCGCATCCCACATTGCCTGCAGGAGAACGGCCTCTCCTTGGGGTCAGTCCTTTGGTGTGTGACCAGGTTGGAGCTGAGGTTGAAGGTCTTCCTGCAGTGCTCGCAGTCGTAGAGCTTCTACCCGGTGCTGGGCTGGAGACTCTTGACCTGATCGGGGGTCCATCCGCAGGTCTTCCCGCACTTGGGGCAGGTGTAGTAGAGCCTCTCGCCATTGTGGGTGCGGCAATGCCTGGCCAAGGTGGAGCTGGTTCTGAAGGTGCGGGCGCAGACTGGGCAGACATAGGGCTTCTCGCCCGTGTGGGTCCAGAGGTGCATAGTCAAGGAGCAGTTGTGGGTGAAGGTCTTCTCACAGTGACCACAAGCGAAGGGTCACTTACCCGTGTGGGTCCAGAGGTGCTCGGTCAACCTGGAGCTCCAGCTGAAGCTCTTCTCGCATTGGACACAAGGGAAGTGTCGCTCAACCACATGGGTCTGTTGATGCTTGATGGGGTTGGAGCTCTGGCCAAAGGTCTTCCCGCACTCAGAGCACTGGTAGGGCTTTGGTGCCATGCTGCCGTCCTCCAGGAGAACGAGCACGTTCATGCTGCCATGCTGGTGACCAACACTGTGGGTTGCTACCACGGCACGTGGAAGGGGAACGTCTGGTGGTTCATTGTCCAACCCCATAGGGACGTTCCCCAAAGGAGACCTCCTTGTGGGTCATTGTCCAGCCCTGTAGGGATGTTCCCCAAAGGAGAACATCTCCTGGTGTGTCCATACATGTTCTGGTCAGTCCATCTGATGTTGGAGTCACAGTCTCCAACTGCTCCACCGTGGACCTCCACAGGCTGTACGGGGACATCATGCCTCACCATGGGCCTCTCCACGGGCTGCAGGAGAATCTCCAGTGCTCCCGCAGCCATCAGGCTTCTCCGCAGTGTGGGTGTGGAGATGCTGGTTCAACTGGGAGCTACGTTTGAAGGCGCGGGCGCAGACCGGGCAGACGTAGGGCTTCTCCCCCGTGTGGGTGCGGGGGTGCCGGGTCAATTAAGAGC